GAGAGAGAGAGAGAGAGAGAGAGAGAGAGAGAGAGAGAGAGAGAGAGAGAGAGAGAGAGAGAGAGAGAGAGAGAGAGAGAGAGAGAGAGAATACGCCAATTTTTTTCCTTTGGGTGTTTTCGCTGATGGCTGCGATTGAGACATAGGATGGGGGAAAAAAAAAGAAGAAAAAAAGACATGGGATGGGGCGGCAGAGAGGGGTGGGATGAGAGAGAGTTTATGATTTGTTTTATTTGATCATGTACCCTTCGCTGCAAGAAGATATTGAATGTGCAATGCAAGAACTCTGTGAAGACCAATTGTGGATATTCCAAGTCGAAAGCAGAATGACAAAACCAGCGAACTGAGCACTGAAGTCTCTTAACAATGAAAGCCTTCTTTTTCCTACACACTCTAGCCTACTTCCTCTCACTCTCTCCCCATCTCCTCTCGGCAGATGCGGCTGAAAAGGCTGATGACATAGGTGCTCGTTGTTCGTACACCAGGAAGTATCCGCCCATCCACACTCCTGCTCTCCTTCCATCCAACCCAGACCACCCGTCACCTTCTCCCTGGTGCAGCACAGCCAACCAGCTATGGTGTGCAGTGCGCACTCACCTGGCAGCTACGACAAGCTGCCTTTCCCCTCCTGCATGGGTGCTGGATGCACACTTGCTCAGCACCGCCGCATCCTGCCTCTGGTAAAGCACTGCGTACCAATCTGCAACCAGGCTCAGGCACCTGATCGGTTTGGACCCCGATGTAGGGCCTACTGGGTAGTTCCCTGGTTGGGGCCTTGACTTAGGCCGTGCTTGGTGACTTTATGCCATGGCCACTTTAGGACCTCTTGAGGCATAGAAGCCTCACTGCTGCCTAAACCAGGTGAGAAGGGGGGGGTGAGGGAGGAGGTGGGAGAACATTGCAGAAGACTCATTCCGCTCAACCGGTCGGTTGGTGTGGAGCGGTGACATGATGGACCATCTTGTTGTGCCAAAGTGTCATTTGCGGAGCTGAATTGACATGGTATCCTCTGCTCTCCAAATATGGTTACAGGCTTCAACACCAAAGATTCTCTCCCTATCATCTCTGCCCCTGTCCCTCCTCCTCCCCTCCTGTCCTTCTCTTTTCCCGTCCTGTGCCTCTCCCTCTGCTTAGCTGGCTTTTACGAAGAACAGTTCTGCAAAACTCGTGGTTGCCAAGGCATTGGTTAAGAATGGGTTTTCGATTGAGCGGATGGATATTTCAATGCCAAATGTGTGCTGTACCAAGAAAGACACCAATCGGAGTGCCAATCAGCTTGCTTCTTCGTCTTTCTTTTGTGCAGAGAGCAAGGAATTGGGGACCGCTTCCTCATATCATTGGCACAAGTGAGTTCAATAATGACGACTTCTGTGGACTATCTTTGGGTAAGGCTGGCTATCGTCTTTTCCCCTCCTCTCTCTGTCTCAGTCTGTCACTGTCTGTGTCTGTGTCTGTGTCTGTGTCCGTGTCTGTGTCTGTCTCTCTCTTCTCTGTCCCTGTCGTTCTCTCTGTCTCTGTCTGTCCGTCTGTCTGTTAGTCTGTTCGCTATCAGTGTTCTGTCTGTTTGTCCATCCATCCATCTGTCCTTCCATCAATCCGTTTGCCCGTTCATGATTTGTTGGTCCATCTGTTGGTGTTTAGGGCTATTCCTCCACCTGTTCTTGGTCCAGTTCGTCGGTCTGTCGGTGTCTCTTTGACTGTTCACCCCTCTGTCCATCCATCGGTCCGTCCGTCTATCCATCGGTCTGTTTCCCGGTCTGTCTGTCTTATGCCTTGGTTTGTCTGTTCGTCCATCAATTTGTCTGCATCTCTGTCCGTCCATATGTCGGTCCGTTGGTCTGTCCATGTTTTGGTCCATTGATCCATCTGTTGGATGGTCTCATTGGTCCGTCTCTCTGTCCATTGGGCTGTCTGCCTGTCCATTGGTCCACCTTTCCGTTGGTCTGTCCATTGGTCCCTTCGTGCGTCTGTTAGTTCGTTGGTTCTGTTGCTTCGTCCGTCTGTCCATCCTGACCCCACAAGTTGTCGACTTCCCAAACACTCAGCAGAAAGTATAGGGTCACTGCATCTCTTGTGGGCCTGACACCTCCTGCGATTCAAATCACTAGCCCCCTTGCAAAAGAAGGCTGTGAGGCATTACGAGAAGAGAGGCTGGTCGTAAGTGTCGTGAATCTGGAGACGCCCTCCAGGGTCCACGAGACAAGGATCTTTGGCCGAGCCCTCGAGGTAGGTCCTTGTTCGTCTTGTCTCTTTCTCCTGCCACTTTATTCTGTATTCTGTCTCTGTTGTCCTTCTCACCTCTCTAGGAAGGTGAACACCCTGTAATCTACCCAAAGTGAGCCTCTCTCTCTCTCTCTCTCTCTCTCTCTCTCTCTCTCTCTCTCTCTCTCTCTCTCTCTCTCTCTCTCTCTCTCTCTCTCCTCGCCCCTCACGCCTTGTACGGCAATGCCTATAAATAACAAATATAGGCATCGCGCAGAACACAAGAATAAACCATGGTGTTATGATCCTCACTATCTAGAAGTAACTCAAAGAAAGACAATGCCATTCAATTGCAACTGAAATGAAAGATGGTGGAAAGAGAAATAGACAAAGGACGAAGATGAATTAAGACTGAAAGAACAACAACAAGATGTACACCAGCAAATGCCAATGTCAAATCCCCCTCCAGCTCGCCATCACCTTTAACCTCCTTATCTCCCACGACTTCTTCTTTGCATATAATAGCACAACCAATGTCCGAATCTCCTCCTTACTCCGCAACTCATGAGGTTCACCATAGCCATGTCCTACACCTTCTTCCACCTTCTAATGGTAGGTGGCTATGGCTTACCAGCGGAGCCTTGCTCCGATGTTCGGAGGAAAACGCAAAGCTGATGTGCCCTCTCTACTAAGGCCGCCATGCCTAACTCTGCCCCGAAGTCTTCCTTGATGAAGCATACCCCCTATGGGGCCTTCCAGGTGCAGCGCCAACCAAGAAGATAAAGATGCCATCCACCATAGTCAGGTAAGCACCCCCGTCACTCTCCTCCTTGCATGCCTTCTTCCTCCTCCTCCTCCTACACCCCGGAGCCACCATAGCTGAGTGGAGGGCCCAGGCAGCATTCTTCCTCCGCAGCGCTGGACGCACAAAGTGCTCGGTCCCGCAGCGTGACACCAAACTTGCACACCGCAGAATGAGGAAGAGCTCTTCACTCTTCCCAATCATATACTGGGAAAGTATCTCCTTGGGCGGCGACTTTCCAGGCTGCTCGGCCTCTGTTGCATACAGGTGAATACTCCACCAAGTATGGGCAGAACCAAAGATCAACCAATATAGGATGAGCATCTGAGAAATGGACTGACTCACATAGACTGAACTCACCCAAACATCACTCAACACACAAGCAATCGTGAGATGGAGGGGGTCTGAAGACCATACATAGTCGATGCACAGATGAATGGTGGGAGGAGAGACGATGGAGGTGGGAAGTATAGGCAGCGCCAGATGTCACCGAGATAGAATCCGGAAGGTCACCGATATGGTAGTCCAGAATGTCACCGAACAAAAACAGAACGTCGTGGACATAACTCACCAATGTCGGGGTACAGAATCCTAATGTAACCGATGTCCGATCTGTGATGCCGCCTGGTATCAATCCCAACTATCTCCAATGTCTCGAATCCGGTAAGTATCACAGCCTCCTACCGCCGAAGTCCAACCACTGATCTCTGTCCAACTCGTATCAGTAGTCTCCAGTCTGAAGAAGAAGAAGAAGAAGAGAGAGAAGAAGAAGACTGAGAGGGGAGGCAGAGAGTTGGGGAAGATGGTGAGTGGCCCCAGGCCTAACCTGTCTGCAGGATGGTGCCGTGGCCGATGCGGGAGCTGGACTGCTCCGCGGAGCTATGGCGGTCACGGTATTCAGGTAAGTCTCCCTCCTCGCCGCTCCTCTGCTGTAGTGCGCTAAACTTAGCGCTGCAGCTTCACGTGCTGTGCTGAACCCGAAATAGTGCAGCGCAGCTGCTCCAACTGTGTCGTAGCCTCTCCCTCCAGGAATGGCCGCTGGACCGGCCTAAGTACCGTCCGGCGGCCGGTTGGCCTCAATGCTGCCCTCCTGCGCCGTGATCTGAATTGTCAAAAATGACGGTTCGGATCAGACCGGCGGGTGGCAGCCTCAAGAGCGCCGCCAGGCCCAAACGGTCATATTGTTTGGGCCGACTCTGGCCTGCTGCGGTCCTGGCGCCAACTGGTGGCCTCAAAAGGGCCTACTGGGAGAAAAAGGCCCGGCCTTGGCTGGGCCGGCCTAGGTACCCCTAATCCAGTAGTGTCGGGCCTGTGAGGGCCCATGTGGAAACGCAGTATGTAACAGCCTCCCAAGCTACCGGTACCTGCCTCCTTTCGGAGGGAAACATCATTGCAGGTGTCAAGCAAAGTGTGGGTGCACGCAGGTGCGAAGGGAAGCCTGAGTCGACCAACTGAACTTGAGTGATATGCAGAATGATGTAATCTGGCTCACCAAGGAAGCCAAGTCACTCGATCAGGAAAATAATTGTTGCCAACGCAAAGGTGTCTGTCCCACAACTTGCTCAACCTGCAGTGCCCCAGTCAGTTGGCTGTCCCAGACACAGCCTTAATCTCAACAGTAAGTCCCGAGAATAGTTCAATCACCACCAATCTCCCTCACCATCTATGGCTATGGCTGCCAAGCTATGGTTATGGCTGCCAAGTTATGGCTATGGCTGCCAAGTTATGGCTATGGCTGCCAGGCTATGGCTGCCAGGCTATGGCTATGGCTGTCAGGCCCACTTTCAACCTCCTTACAACCTCCACCTTCCTCAGAAACTTCACCTTTAACTTTCTGTCTTCGAAGTAGTACAACAATACATCACCCCCTTCAAGTGACAACCTCTCCTCCATTTCAACCTTAACAAGATATCTTTGAAAGCCGCAGGGTGAATTCCAAGTTGCAGCAACAGCACCTTCAAGCAATGAAGAAACAAAGCAACTGCACTTTTTCCCTTGAACAGCCTCCTCACCAGAGTTGGAACAACTAAACACTACCACTACTCCAGGTGGTGGAGCAGTACTTCCTCCAAACGTCATTGCGGCAACACTCCAGCACCACCTTTCCTTGGGAGGCCTCAAGCTGCAGCTACGGCATCAAGCTATGGCTGTGGCTGCCTAGCTTCCCCTTCCACCTTCCTGCAGACCTCCAGTACTTCCAGAAAATCCTTCCTGCAGATCACCAGCACCTCTAAACCAAATAGTAGCACTGGCCTGGCACTGGGCCAAGGTTTCCCCAACCTTGGCTATGGCTGCCCTGGTTTCTCCTCTAACCTCCTTGCAGCGTTCAGCGACTCCCCCAGCAGAGCCTCCCCTTCGCCTTGTAGACCTCCCACTCTCCCTAAATTCTTCCTGCATCTACCCCTCCTCAAGCAGAATCTCCCCTCAGTGTGATGCAGCCTCATTCAGCACTTAAGTGAGTGCGAGTGTGAGCAGCATCACAGCCTCAACAAATGTGAGGCAGCTGTGGGAGCAGCTGCTTTTATAGTTGCTGGAGGGCTGTGGGGAGCAACTTGGCCCACAGGCAAAAACTTGGGCTCATCCTGGGCCCTTGATCTGGAGCGAAGCTGTTAACTGCTTGTGAGATCAAGGGCCACAAACACAGCTTTTCTCTCGAGGGACCAGGACCCTTCAAAGCCATTCTTCACCAGGCCATGTGCATTGTGGAATGGCAGTATTTAGCCATTTCCTCGTGGGTCTGCACACACACACAGTTATTTTCACTGCACGCACCTAAACTAAACCCAGGCCTCTTCCTGCTGCACATCCAGAAAGCCCCCAAGAAATCTGGCCACGAATGCGACCAGAATCTGAAAAGGAAAAGAAGAAAGAAAAAATGAAAAGAAGAAAGAAAAAAAGAAAAGGAAAAAAAAGTATCATTGCTCCTTGTTCCCCCCCACCCCCCCTTCCCTCCCCCCCGCCCCTTCAACAGGCCCTGCCACGAGGCAGGACATCCCCTCGGCCCATTGGGTACCCACAAACTGTGGAAAAGAAGACCCAAGTTCGAATCCAAGCACCTACCAGGGTTGTCACCCCTACTCGCCGTGCCAGAAGGCCTCGTGGCCTTTTAAAACTAAAAAAAAAGTAAAGAAAAAATAGAAAGGAGGGAAAAAAGAAATGATAAGAGTCACCTGCCTGCACGTGAAAATGGGTTCTGCCGTGCGATCTCAATTGCCAGCCACACCCTTTCCTTACTTCTCTTCTTCTCTTTTTTTTTTTTTTCCCTGATTTCTTCCTTTGTCTATTTCTCTTTCCATGTTCTTTATTTCAGTTGCAATTGAACCAGTGTTGGTCCCTGGTCCAACCGGGGACCCCTTCCTGGACCGGGAGCCTCCCGGTTGGAGCGACCGGTGGCCCGTCGCGGTTGCCTCTCGGTTCACCCCAGCGCATTTTTGCTGGGGGCGGGAATTTGTTTTTCTTTAGGCCTATGATGCCTATCTCGTTTTTCAGGGGTCCTAGACCCCAGTGCCTGTCGAAGGGCAAAAAAAAAAGCCCGGTAGGCCCTATGCGAGGCACAACGTCTTCTTCATCCTCTCGTATTCATCTTCTTCTTCTTCTCCGCCACTACGTCTTCTTCATCCTCTCGTATTCATCATCATCGTCATCTCCTCCTCCTCCTCCTCCTCCTCTTCTTCTTCTTCTTCTTCTTTGTAATGATCCGCCAAAACACAGACTGAGAACACTGCTGATTTCTGGGATTTGCCGCTAGAATGAATGCCTTGCTGAGATTCCCGCATTCTGCTGTGGTTTCCAAGTCTGTGTGTGTGTGCGTGCCTGCTGGTTTGCATGCCTGTCTGAGTGCTTGTTGGCTGAGTGTGTGTGTGACCCGCAAGGGTACTTGTTGGTTGAAAGGCCCCACAGGGCCGGTACTTACCTGTGGCCGTGGCTTTGAGGGTTACAGCGGGGAAAACACTCAAGTAGCGGGGGTAGGCCCGCGACACTTAGAGCAGGGGGGGAAAAACACTCAAGTAGCAGGTAGGCCGATACCACTCAAGTAGTGGTAGGAGTGTCGGGTACTGGAGGCCGAGCAGAAGAAGACAAAAAGTTGGCATTTTTAGAGGCCCAGAAGCGGTAGGATAGAGGTAGGCCGGTACCAGTCCAAGTAGCCTGATTCTAGGGCCTGTCTGGGCGATAGCAGAGCCTGCAATGATGTTTCCCTCCGGAAGGGAGGAGGTACCGGTTGCTGGGAGGCCGCTCGGCCTAGGAAGTCACCGCCCAAGAGGCCAGTAGGCTGCTATATCTTCCGGAGGAGCAAGTAGCTCCTCCTCATTTGCGGTATGCAAGGATGGGCGACGTGCTGCTGAGTGAAGCGCTGGACTGGTACAGTGCTGCCTGGAGGTGAAGGGCAGCTGGGCGCTCAGCCTGGCTATGGCGAACAGCCCAGCTTGAGGAGGAGGAAGAAGGGGACGAAGGAGGAGAGTGGCGAGGCACCTACCTGGCTATGGTGGACACCATCTTCATCACCTTGTTGGGCGCTGCATCTGGAAGGCCCCAGTGGGGGTAGTGCCGCACCAAGGAAGCTCGAGGCAGAGTCAGGCATGGCGGCTTAGTCAGCAGCGGCATAGCTGCTTTGGGTTGTCCTTTGGACAGGAGTGCAGCGCCATAGCTGCTTTGGGTTGTCCTTTGGACAGGAGGGCACGGCCCAAAGTAGTCCGCCATAGCCTAGGCATGTGAGAGGAGGAAGGAGGAGGGAAGCCATAGCTATGGTGGTCTTGTTGTTGTTGTTGTTGTTGTGTCAGCAGTAAGAGGAAACTTCGGACATTGATTCTGGTTCATCCACTCATTGTTATTATTATTATTGGGAGGAGAATAAGATTGGCGAAGTGATTTGGCCTTTTGAATCGGCCTTAGATAGAGGTACAGTCATATTTTTGGATACCTCAGAGGTTTAGAGTTTAGGTTTAGGGTTTACAGTATGCAAGAGGGAGAGACGAGATGGGTCAGGGGATATTGGGACACACAGACAAATGGATGAGGGGTGTGCATCAGCCAGCAGGTCGAGTGGGCGATCTCCTTCTTGGTTAGCATAGAATATCTGACAGGTCTGGTATCTAGGTCTAAGAGGAAAGAGTGAGTCATGGCAAGCTGACAGTTATTCCTCCAGCAAGGGTGGAGCAATCAATGCTGTTCAGGGGTCCTTCGGCCGGACGGAAGGAAGCGTGAGTGAGTCTTGATGTAATATGTTTTGACTTGCTGGTGGAATAGGAACCGGACTGATGCTCCCCAGAATGGAAGGAGCCAGGGCCAGAAGGCCCTGTTTTATTAAAAAAAAATAATAATAAAAAAAAAATTGGCGAAGTGAAGGAGGAGGAGGAAGGTGGAGAGAGAAGGGGGATTTGTCATTGGTCTTGCTGGTGTACATCTTCTTCTTCTTCTTCTTCTTCTTCTTCTTTCTCTCTTCTTTGGTCTCTATCTCTTTGCAAGTGCTTTCATTTCTTTCGCAATTGGGTGGCATTGTCTTTCATTGTGAATTTGCACTTTGGGAATGACCAGGATCGTAACATCTTTCTTCTTTCTTCTTCTTCTTCTTCTTCTTTCTTCTTCTTCTTCTTCTTCTTCTTCTTCTTCTTTGCAGGTTCTGACTGCTCTCGGTGAGTGCAATTGAACTCCTATTTTAAAAAAAAATAAAAAAAATTGTCCTTCGGGACATCCGTTAAAATTGGAACGATACAGAGAAGATTAGCATGGCCCCTGCGCGAGGATGACACACATAAATCAAGAAATGGTCCAAAAAATAGTAATAATTAATAAAATAAAATAAAAAAATGGATGTTTTTTTAGGCCAACTGGAATTCCGGTTGGAGGACCTGAGTCCAACCGGCCCGGTTGCATCTGGGCCGGTTGCTGGCCCAACACTGAATTGAGCGGCATTGTCTTTCTGTGTTTTTGCACTGCAAGATGGCCTGGATCATAACAGTGGAAGCGGTTAACCTTTCACCATGCATGTTTTCAGAGATAGACTTGGGTTGCAGTGGACACGTAGTGAACGTACCTGTAAAGCATGGCTACCTCGGAGCAGGGCACTGGTTTCACTTGGACACCAGAGAACGGACCGTCTTGGACGTCAGGGTCTGGTCAAGACCAGGAGGTGCTGTAAGAAATGTGTTTTGTTTTCGTTTTAATTTTGTTTCTCAAATTTGCTTGTGGATTCTGAAATGACCCGAAGCCAGAAGTTGTTGCTATTGCCATGCTGGCATGATGCTGCACAACATATCTTTTTTCGAGATTTTTAAACCTTTTTTTATTTTTTTGAGAGTTTGGAACATTGAATATTTTTCAATTCTTCCAGACAGGTCTGCGGACATCTGGCGTCGGGACCACAGAAGGCAGACTGTGCGGGGAGTTGTCGGGGCGTGCGGATGGTATCCATGGTGTAGAGCGATTATCAACGTGGCGAGCCTTGTATGTGAGAGGTGCAGTGTAGGGGGAGTTGAAAGAGGAATGAGAAATTGAATGGTTTCAATGTGCCCTTGTTTTTTGTTTTTTGTCCTTTTTTATCCTTTTTTATCCTTTCTTTGCGCAAAGTGCGCTCTTTTAGTTCATAGCTATGTGACGATATATAGTATATAATTGTGTAAAGCGATGACTGTATGAACCACGTATGCAAGGCAAACACCCCGCATGTGGCGAACAGAAACTCAAAAGAAAGGTCGAGAAGAAAACCACTAGATTGGAGTGTCCAAACCCCAATGGCTCCACCTCTCCCTTCCCCTTCTCTCTTCCCCCGCTCCCATCCCACTTTACCTAACTGTTTTGCGGCAAACTGATGAAAAGTGCAGATACTGGGGGTGAAACATCAAATGGAGTCTCGGGCCGTTTCAGCGCAAAAGCTTTTGAGAAGCTGTTGTTGGTTAGCGAGCTGGCAGAAGGTTCCCGAGACACGGCATCAGATGACCAGTTGCGAAGAGAATATGAGCAGCATGGACGGGAGGTGGGTTCAGTTTTCTCCTTTCGCTTTTTTGCCTTTTCGCCTGCTTGCATCATGTTAACCGTGGATCCGGACAACGGACCAATTCCGACAAAAGAAACAGACGTGCCTGGATTGATCTGGGCGTCTGAAAAGCTGGACATGTTGGGGACATCCACACAGACCTGGACCTGCATCGTCCGGATGGGGTCACAGGGCCCGAGATCCATCCAGATTCCAAAAAAAAGCAAAATTGCATAATCATACAATCATGACATGACACTACCTACATGTAAACAACTTTGAAGTTCTGTACTCTTTGTCACAGTGAACAAAATTTGTGGTGTACAGTTTGACACTAGCCTTGTCTGTTTTTCATCCCGACCACAGGAACAACACAGCACCTGTCTTAGGCAGATTACAGACATCTGAAACAGCTTTCAAAACAGCTCGAAACAGACTGAGGCGAAATGCTATGACCGGGTGGACGTGAACTGCAGAGGTAAGAGACCGGCTATGGCGAGACGAGCTAGAGGACATTTCTCCGTTAAGTCTGAGCTCATACGTGACTGGGTAGGCCAGGAACTTAGCCACTCCTTCAGCGTGGCAGAAGGTGAGCTTATCCAACAGACTAAAGGGATCTCGATGGGTGGTCACACGAGCCCGGCTCTGGCATGTGAAGCCATGTTCATCCACAACCTAGGATCGGATCAGAAGAAGATCCTCGAACTGCGATTAGTGGACGATGACACCGTCTTCATAACTTATTTGCGAGAGAAGGTAGATTTAGCCGTAGATTTAGCCGTCCGCGCCAGGGATATTATTTTGAAACTGCAGACATGTCACCCTTCTGATCTCACACTGCAACACACGGATGAAGACGATGGCACAATGCTGTTCTTGGGATGCAAGATCTTTATCGACCAAGATGGGCTGAAAGTCTCATCTGTTCTTCAGATGAAGAATCAAGAGTGTCTGACTCATGATCTCTCACTCAAGTATCAGGGAATTCAGGATTACACGTCCTTCAGCGATGTACAGACCAAGACCGAGCTACTTGCATTGCATTGCATTGCGAGATGTTCTACGGACACCACAATGTGGGATTTGCTGCTACTGTGCCTCAGGAGGGAACTTCGTATGCGATCACGGACGAGATCATCTCGAAGACTTTTCAAGCATTCGAGACCAAGGAACACATTCACTTTGAACACCTCTATCCCACCGGGGGGGGGGAAGGGATTGAGAGAGAGAGAGAGAGAGAGAGTAGTTAGGATGTGTTTTGGAGTGTGAGGTGGTTTGCCCCGAGCGCTGTTCTTCTCCTAAAGAGCCTCTATCTAAGCTTCCATGATGTTTTTCTCCTGCACAGATCCGCCTGAGACCCGGGTTCCATTTGCACGTTGTGCTCAGATGATGGCTGTGCAGCAGCTTGATCTTTCTGTTTTTTTCTTTGCTTAGTCTGGCTTGGTCACTTGTCGTTCTCCGCGTAGGTCGCTGGCCAGCTGAACTGTTTGTCGTAAGCCTGGCTGTCCTCTTGTATGCTGCCCCTTTGGCATATTATTGTGCAAAGAAATATGGGAGCTCACACTCCCTCTGTACGACCTCAAAGCGGTTCTTGGACTGGACAACAGGTCACTGTCTAGACGTGATTGCCCCCGCTTGGACCTTCGGATTGTAGTGATGGTGGGCCTGGTGCAGTTTTAACTCTCAACTTTCGCACGCATTCCAGGCCCTGTACTGCCGTTTCCAGCCATTCCACGTTCGTGCTTCGTCGATCTCCTCTTGTGATGGGTCTTCCTCTCCTTCACCCCCATCTTGGTCAGCCATAGCCATGCTGTCTGCATCGTCAACCCCTCTTCTCTTGCAACCCTCGGCATCCGTAGGGCCCTGGCTGCTCAACATCCAGTTTGCTGCCTTGCTCGTGATTCTGTGAAGCCAAGCAGTGGTGGGCTCTTCCATCGCTTTCGTGGTTGATGTTTGTGGCTGTGTGTGGCTCGATTCCCCCCTCCGGGTCCGCCTTCGCCTGCGCTTAGATTTGGCTGCTTAACAACTGTTGGGATAGGCTTTTTCTGTCAGCTCCCTAATTTATGCACGATCGTCCGAAGCCTACATCTTTTGCCTGTCTTCCTCCACCCAGTGCTCGTTGATAACCGGTTTCGTGAGGTACCGCACCACTTTTTCCTTCATCTTTGAGGCCCCGGTCTTTCTCGATTGGCTGTCGTGCAGGGGGGGACATCTGGCTTCACTGTGGGTGAACACTTAAGCGTCCATATCCATTGTCCAACAGGGGTTTTGAGGTTGTCATCAAAGATCCACCCGCGATACTCAGGTCTATTGACATACCATACTCTTGTCCTCCCTGCGCATTCCATGAACTGCATTTGAAAGGTCGGTCTCTTCCTCATGGTCGTGCTGTTGGCAGGGCAGTTGGGGTCGTTGCCCAAGTGGCCCCTCCCCCTACAACGAAATCAAGCAGGGTTTGTCTCCGTAGAGACGAAAACCGTGGTTCTTTGGGCATACTTGCAGAACAGCCGCACTTTTGAAAAGGAGGGCGGCTTTCCAGACGACACTTCCAAGCAGGTGTTATGTGCCTGATTGAAATGAGATACAGCATGGCATCCACATGTCCCCATACACATGGGCAACGACAAGAGATCTTGGAGAGAGCAATTCACACCATATCTGATGAGAGAATACACAGCGGAATCACTTTTAAAAACCAAAAATAGAATTGAGATTAATCAATTCTAATTAATCCCCCGCTCTCCCCAGCCAATCAACGCCCTGTTTTTCCAAAGAATCCCAACCACGTTATTAACACCCAGGAAGCAATTATTTACAAGTTTCATCGGAGTAATTGGGAGTCTTCTTCTTCCTCCCTCGCTACCAAGCTCTGGCTATGGCGCCGATAACGCCCAACCTATCCAGACAGCCAACGCTACACCATCCTCCTGCATCCGACACAGCAACCGGCAGTGACCTCAAATCCCAGCTGCGGATGAAGAGTTCACTCAGCAGGGGAGCACAGCTCCCAGGATGAGAAGAAGAAGAACAACACGATGAAGATGGAGCCTGCCACTCTTGAAGAGGTCTCATGGAAGAGCTGCTTCGAAGGCAGCTGAAGTAGCCCCAACAGCACACTTGAGAGGAAGACGCCAACCAGCTCGTGGGAGCTGAAGCCCAGCGCTGCAATGGATAGAGCTGGCCCGACACAGCTATGGCTGCCAGCTATCCAGGGAGAAGGACTGCTCAGCGCTGTTGAAAATAGCGGAGCAGCAAAGCGCAACCTTCCACCTTCATGAAAAGAAAAGAAAAAACGAAGTAAGAACCCATTCCCCTACCGACCTATCTGACCGTCCCCACAGCCCAGATCCTGTCTCTTATACACATCTAGATGTGTATAAGAGACAGCAGCTATGGCTGCCAGCTATCCAGGGAGAAGGACTGCTCAGCGCTGTTGAAAATAGCGGAGCAGCAAAGCGCAACCTTCCACCTTCATGAAAAGAAAAGAAAAAACGAAGTAAGAACCCATTCCCCTACCGACCTATCTGACCGTCCCCACAGCCCAGATCTACGGCCTACCTCTCCTTGACTTCGACTTAGACCTACTACCGCCCAAACTGCCACATTCTACGTGAATCTAGACTGAAAAACAGACACAAGAGAACCCTACCACCAAGCAAAGGAAAAGCCTACGGGCCTACAACCAACTGCTGCAGAAAAGACGAAAATGAAAGGGCCCAATGGCCTAAGACTGCCCAGCAGAGACTAGCAGTACCAGATCTATGCATCAAGCCCCGAAAGGCACACGGCGAACAAGCAAGCATATGAACACAAGGTCACGGAAGTCCCGATGGTGTCGAAAGAAGAAAACAGCAAACCCAGTTAGTGTACAGCCCGCATGAGAAACTGCTATCCATTGCACAGGCAATCCGAGAATGGTTGTTGGGGGCCAGAAAATCTGGCCCCGGTTCCAGCTATGCAACTATTGGATTATTTGGGTATTTGGATTGAAGCCGCTACGCAGGCCTTCGGATTGGTTGTCAAATTGCACCCAACAGTGGTCACGAAGCATGGTTTGATGATGCCTAATCGTCTTCCCTGTGCGAAACAGCCATACCTCGGGAAAGCAGGGCGGCTCTCCAGACGACACTCCTCTCCCTTTGTCAGCTAAGACCGCCTGTTCCCACCGCTTGACTACCTTCATTTCCGCCCTTGGCGCAATGGCTTCCACCGAGCAGGAGCTGCTGACTGTGGCCGCTCCCTCCTTTCCCTTTGTCAATGCGCAGGGGCCTGACTGTGTGCGCTTGCTTAAACCACCACTACCTCGGAGCCTCTTGGTGCTGATGCGGAAAAGAACTGCGCGCCAAGCTTTGCCGAAGCGCCATCGTGGGACTCTTTTTCTCTGTGGCTGATGCTGCCAGCCAGTCGGATCCAGTGGCCCCGAGCCTCTGACGAACCCGGAATGTTACGTTTTCGATTATTGATGTTTCTCCCTGGATATTGTGGCAGCCTGGCTGGTACTGGGCGCAGGTAACCTTTTGAGAAGCTTCCAGACTGGGTACCTGGGCATTAACCTCTTCAACTAACTGGGAGGCTGGGTCTACCAGTTAGTTGGAGAGTCTGCACCCAGCATTTTCCCAACTACCTCATGCCAACCTCCCCAGAGGCCTGGCGAACATTTTCCTGCCTGGCCTGCCCGGCCTTCACTTAGGGCCGGGTCACATTTTGCAAGAGGCCCAGTGGGGCGCTGCAGAGGTCCGAAGCCTCACATTATGCTTTCCTTAACAACCAGTAATCACTAATTAGTAATATTCAAGGCTGGGCTGCCGCCCGGCCGGGCATGCCCGGGGGGGTCCGCCCAGCGAAACTGGCCGACACAAAAACACAGCAAGGATTTTTTTTTTTTTTT